AGAGAGAGAGAGAGAGAGAGAGAGAGAGAGAGAGAGAGAGAGAGAGAGAGAGTTGCATCGTGCTTAAGTAACCTTTAACAAGACATTGAGGTTGTATACAATGCGTCAGTATTAGTCATTCTTTTGCCTACATCCTAAAATGTGAACTGACAGCTATGAAATGTTTTGGACTGGAATCAAAATTTCTTGATGTCTAGACTTGAGGCTTGAAAATGTCTCCTAAACATAACCAACACAATTTAAAACATCATATATCAYACATCACTGTAACGCTCATAATTAACTATTGTAAATGTGTGAATCCAATATATTATGTTTAGTGTTAGGAAGACTGAACAATGCTGTATTTCTGAATGGATGTGCAGAGGAAACCTACTGGAAGAAGGGCTAATTGAAAGCTCAAGAGAGCAGTCTGCAGGCTGGCATAGTTCATTCACAGTATTTGTCATTAGACCAGGCTGCAGGGAGAGAATAGAGTGCACTGCGCCATTCGTGTGTAACCAAGATTTATGCTAATGTCTTCCTGCATATGCTTATTCTACATATCTATATTAAACTTAATAGACTGTTACATTGCTTCTTAACCTCAGCTTCCATCCATGATTACCTTTTCTGATTTCTTTGCAAAATGGGACATAAACACGGGGCAGGGATTTTATCAGCGTGTCAGTGAGTTTGTTTCCGGTGGCGGACCATGGCTTTAATAATCATACTTCAGGGAGTCTATCAGAAAATGCTTGCCTAAGAGGCAACAGTTAACATGTCATGTTGTAATTTCCCTGAAAGCTTAGCAGAGCCTTTTATTTTTTACTCTGTGTTAACACAAAGGCAGTGATTTCATGAATTCATGAACTAAATTCAAAGCCATTTATGTATGCAGTATATACYATAACAACATATTAAAATAGCGCATTTAGGAGCCAAATGAGCTGAGAAAAATACAACTTTTTTACATGGTATTTAAGCATGAACATRAAGGTTTTGTTTTTAGATATTTATACATCAAAGAAGAATAAAGATTGTTTTTATTTAATACCAAATGATATACAAAAAATAAAATAAAAAATACAAGAAATATTTCCTAAAATTAACTACCAGTTTAAGACAGCAGTCTTCAAAGTTGCCTGATTAGCTTCATGGCAAAAAAAAGCAACTAAAGGACATTGGCAAGGACACTAAGGTGAACTCATTCAATAAATTCAAAAAAATAAATAATAATAGATCAGCTTTACAAACAGAAGTGTACCTGTCACTATCCCATGCTAAACTCTTAAATCAATAAAAAAGGTAGATAAATTTTGCTGCGCAGGTTTTTAAATATATTCCCACAAAGGTCATTATACCCCCCCCACCCCCACAGAAATTCAGTGTTAGCAGAAATCTTGTAAGTCATAAAGGATGTCCTTAACAATGGAACAAGCCACCAATTTTTAAACCCATCATTCAAGTCCACTAAACCCACACCAAGGACTAGAAAAATGTTGTATGACAAGTTGTTGGTAAATGYGAAAGTGTCACACTAAGGTGCCCTGCTTCATGTGGATATATTGTGGAAGTGTGGTGCTGCTGAGATGATGTTTTTTTTTATGTTTTTACAGAGGTGCAGAGAAAGGTATTTGTCACCTACACACATCTGGCATTTTGTTCACCCACCCTGTGCTGACGATGAAGGACAACCTCAATTAGGGTCTGCCACTAGCAGGACAAAATTGATATTTTTATGGTCAAGGATTACGGGCTTTTTTTTCTTACCATTGTTCACTTGCTGCCAATTAAATAAGCTCACCAGTAGTACATTTACCCATATTATTGCTAGTATTACCAGGAAATAACTTTTTTTTATCATGCTACAGCATGCTCCGAAAATAAAATTTTCACTGTTTTAGGATTTTTTTCCCATTATCTTTACCTGCTTCTTCTTTTCAGGGTCATGGTGGTTCCTTTTGCCCATTTCCAGCAGTCACTGTGTGAGGGGCGGGGTACACTCTGGACAGAACACAAGTCTATTAGGGCWAGAGAAAAACAAGACAAACAACTGTTTACACTCTCACTCACATAGGGACAATTTAAAGTTATCCGATAATAAAAATGACACTAACCTTGCATTTTAAATCTTGTAACTCCACACGTCTTCAGCTCCAGAACACAAGTCCAGTTGCTTCATCTTTATTCTTTTATTTTTCCATGTCCTGGATGACTGCAAATCCACAAAAATATATTTCATAGTATTGTCTTTCTCTCTTGGACCGTATCGAAACTAAGGTGACTGGATTGATACTTTCGTCATTATGTTAGTTTAAAACGTTCTTCAAAGTTATTGTTTATCGCAATAAATTCTGAGACAATTTTAAAGTCCAGCAAAATTTGTGATTGTGAAAAGCCTGACGTGACTGCTGGATATGGGCACAAGTGACCCATGTGTCCCTAAAAGCAAGAAGAATGTGATGATGGATGGATGGATGGATGGATGGATGGATGGATGGATG